CATGTGACAAAAACTCAGTTTGACTCAGCAAAACTCAGCTTGGCTCGAGTACCCAAAACTGGCTAACACTCTGGCGTCGAGGTAGTGGCAGTCAGCAGCTTAAGAGTCCTCCGGTAATGAGGCAACCATCCACAGGTGTGTGAGAAGGCCAACGAGAACCAGGCGCCACCTGGTGGTGGAGGGAAAACACACAAAGACACAACCCACCCAAACTGGATTCCTAACAATTGTTAGCAACCATGAGGTGGTCTATAGGGGAAACATTTGCTGATTTCAGAAACACCTCAGATAAATGTTTCCTTGTTTTCAGAAGTAAATGGGGAAAAGCTATGCCTCTGAAAATCAAATCCATCTTTGAAATGTGAAAGTGAACTCTCAGTGAGCTCCCATTTGGAGTCCCAGAGAGTTGCGGGAAAGCTCAGACCAACACTGTCTGAAATAACACTGCATAGCACAACTGCATAGAAATAACACTGTCCTTTCCTGTGACCATCATCCGCATGTACACAAGTATTTGTTGCTCAGAGCTGCGGCGCCATGATGATTCAGCTCCTTTCCTTTCATGCTGTCATCACGCATCTGCCTCAGCCTTCATGTTTAAGTAACACTCCATGACATTCTCAGATAAATGTCAGTGTTCAGCTGTAATGTAGTGATGATTCAGGCTCATGCATATCCTGTGTATGAATTTGGTCAAATTTGCAAACAGTAAATGGATGTTTTAAACATAAAGTATTTTCTTTCACATCTCTGCTCTTTCCATTTCCTTTTATTTATTTTTTTATAGCAGCTTCTTTTCAAAAAAGTCCCATTATGTACAGTAGTAGCCATTAAAAATGTCCCAACTTTCCTTGATGGGTCCTTGGCTGGTCCCCTCAAAATTTCTTTTTAAACATTTGTACTAAAATATTGTTTCTGTCATGATTTTTGGACATTAAGATCTAAAGAGAAGCATAATCTCCTGGTCAGACCCTGTAATTCAGTGAAAGGGTGGAGTCAGAGTGAAAAAAAATATGCAAGAGGAGGTCACTCCAGTGGCTGGAAGTTGGAGGGGATTTCGCTGGGAGTTGGATGGAAATGAGCTTCCATTCGGCTGGTTTTTGACTCGGAAGGGCCATTTTGAATACTCTATCCAAGTTTGGACAGGAAATAGGGCATTTAGTGAAATGCAAGACATGTGGCAAGCGTGTGCCTGTAGCTGAGCGTGCATAGCATCACATTTCACATTATCATGTCTCACTCAAGTCCTCCAGATTAAAATAAATCAATACTTCATTGTTATAAAAAGGTTCCCCTATCCATTGTAGCATTCCCCAAAGTTAGAAAATTCTTCCCACATTAGGATAGTTATGATAAATCAGCTTTTCTTTACAATGGTATAATAGAACAAGGCTGGAAAAAATACTCAGCATCATAATCCGTTCGATGGTAGAATTTAAATATCCGACATGCTATTTTTATTCCACCGCCACCTATTTGTCCAAAACACGCAGCAGCAAAGTAGGTCAGATGCAGAATAATCACAAGAGAGTAATAACTGTATGATGTTCCAACTGGTGAGATCATTTCATGCTTCCTTCAGAACACATCAAGGACTGCGGGAAAGATTTTGTTTTAATTTAATCTTATTGAAAATCTGATGGCAATTACTATTAATGAAGTGTGACTTGTTACCAACCATAGATGTCTTAGCCTATTGTAGAAAGCCACTCTTTGATTCAATACTCCATTCACAGGTCCTGAATTGAGATGCCAGGACAAAGATTAAAGATTTAAACTCTTCCTATTGAGTTACTTTGCCCAGAAGCTCATCTTAACATCTTTCCAAAGAAATTCATCCTCAGAATGTGGGTCACTCCGAGAGAAATAAACGAGATATCATGCTGCTTTATATGCCAGAGGGAGAGAAGCTAATCCAAAGCCCTATACGGTCCCAGAAGTACCTAGATATTTAGCATTACCCAGTGGGAATTAAAGCACCAACTTGCTAAGAGCCAGAGGGTTTTATGCAGAGTCATAAAGACCCCTTTTTTACAGCATCATCAGAAAGACATGGGCTATTTCTCAGTTCAGAAGGACGCAAGTACGGACTCGTGTTCTCGCCAAGTATGTTCTTCAAAAGAGGACAGGAACGGGTGGACTCTGGGAAAACGGAAGCAGGCAGCATAAATATGGGTCAATTGTAACAGAAGCGTACTCGTGACATCACTACACGCTCAGCTCGTCTGCAGCTGCATTTCACCTCCTGTTATTAATAGTCTCTAAATAATAATAAATTCTTATTTTTTTCATTTATTGGGGGAATAATAATT